GGACTAGAAAAAGCTGAATGGATTCGAGAATGCTATGAGCAACTAAACTTTATTGAAAAAAAAAGACTACAGCACTTTGTCATGGCCAATTGTACCAAAATAAGGTAATGAGAGCTCATGACAAAATGTCAAACCTCGTCAGTTTCGAGAGAGAGAGTTAGTGTTGAAAAGAATTTTTCCAAATCAGTATGATGATCGAAAAAAAAAAGACTTCGAATTGGAAAGGACCTTGTGTGGTAAAAAAAAGCTTTTTTAGAAGAAGCTTTGATCTTGTCAAAAATGGATGGAAATGAGCTTCCTGGTCCAGTCAATTTTGACGCATTAAAGAAGTATTTTGCTTGATTCAAAAAAATAAAAAAAAACATAAACAACATAAAAAAAATAAATTAAAGCTCAAGCCGAAAACCTAGAATGGCAACTTGGGTTAAAAAAAATGGTCTGGATTGAAAAGGCAGCTCAAATCGATAGGCATATCAGTGATAGTAAATTTTGAAGAACTTCGAAGTGTTGGGGAGTTAGGTTTTAATTGAACTTTTAAAAAGGGATCTGAGATTTATTGTCATGATTATAAGTAGTTGTTTTAGGGCACTTTTAGCCCAAAATAGCCATTTTCTGTGTATTTTTTTCACACCATCATTCGTACCTGATCATCTAAATAAATGAAAGCCATTTTATTATTCTCTTGATCTTACATATTGTTTTTCTTCTTTATATCTTGTCATGAATGGAAGAAATGCATAACTTACATCCTCATGCTTTGAAATTGGAATGATGATTAATAATTGAACAAAGTCATAAGAAGTATGTTACCTTTAAGGATTAAAGGAAATAAAGGCAAATAATGAACCTTACAAAAAAAAAAAAAGAACAAGAAAAGGGTAAAAATTGACTTCCATGGCTTTCTTCAATAGATAGGCGAATGAAAAGGTTTCTTTGCTAAAAACACGCCTTCACGCTGATGAAAAATGATTTTTGTGCATGTCGCCAGGCCAATGAAAGATGGTTTCTTTACCAAAAATGCACCTCTAGGTTGATGAAGAGTAACTTCTTTACCAAAAGGTGAAGGGGAATTTTTTCACTAAAATGTATAATGAAGTTAAACATGCATGATAATATCTGATGGTTTCTCTGCTAAAGGTATACAAAAAAGAGGATACAAAAACCTTAATACCACAATTGATGCTTCATTTGCATAAGACATGCACTTGTATTGTCCACTCATTAAATTTTGTCTCATGACCTGCGACATCCTCTCAATCATTTATTTTTGACATTGACTCAATCCTGGTCACTTTATTTTGACATGTGATTTAATCCTGATCACATGATTCATGGTTTCGTCTTGATCATTTATTTTCAACCTCAACTCGATCCTTATCGCTTTATTTCGACTCATAGTTTCGTCCTAGTCACATGATTCATGGTTTCATCCCGATTATTTTTTTTACCTTGACTCGATCCTTGTCGCTTTATTTCGACTTCTGATTTCATCCCGATCACATGATTCGTGGTTTCATCCCAATCATTTATTTTTGACCTCGACTCGGTCTTGATCGCTTTATTTCGATTTGTGGTTTAATCCTGGTCACATGATTTGTAGTTTCGTCCTGATCATTTATTTTCGACCTCAATTTTATCCTGCTCGCTTTATTTCGAGTCATGGTTTTATCCCAATCACTGATTCATGGTTTCGTTTCGATCATTTATTTTCGACCTCGACCCAATCCTAGTCGCTTTATTTGACTTGTGGTTTAGTCCAGTCACCTGACTTTGGTTCAATCTAAGTCACTTTTCAAATTTAAGATCAGAATAAGCGTCTAAGTCTTTGCAACATTCTTGTCTAACAAATATGTGCAAAGATGGGCAGCTGTAGACACTCATTTTGGTTAGGGCCCAATTAGGCCTATTTTGATCTAGGCCCGATTAGGCTCATTTTGGCCCTAACCCACTAGGCCCATTCTCGTTCAGGCTCGTTCTGACCCATTTAGGTCTAATTAGATTTTTTATTTTTCATTATATTATTATTATTATTATTATTATTATCTATTCTATTATACTATGTTATATCATATTATATTATTATTATATTATTATTATTACTACTACTACTACTATTATTATTATTATTATTATTATTATTATTACTATATTTTTCTTTTTTTCCTTTCTTTTTCTTTTCTTTTCTTTCTTTCCTCATTTTTTTTCTATTCTGATTCACATTAATCCCATGAATGCAATCCCAAGATTCAAGCCTGAGATTGATTCTGTTCGATTCCTAAAATTAGTCCTAAGACTGCCTATAAATTGGACTGATTCTAACATTGATGAATGCACAAAAACATAAGAAGAATGGAGAGAAAATTGTTGGAAAAATTTTGGCAGTAGGGGTTTTTAGGATTTAATCTTGAGGTTTTTGAGTTAATTTGTGGATTCTAGAAGTGAATTCAAGTTTCTGGGGTGAATTCAGGGTTGTAGAAGGTTTGGAGAGGGATTAGAATCATCTGAGAATTTTTTTTGAATTTTTTTGGATTTTTTTGGGTTTGGTTAAATTTTTCGGTGAAGTATAAATTTTTCGATGAATCGATGAATAGTTGAATTTTTTGATCACATTCCAGCCAATTTCCCAGAAACCGATAGTTTTCCAATTTTTGGTTGAATTTTTCAATAATATTTCCAGAAATCGATGAATTTTTCAATTTCGGTTGAAGTTTCTGGTGGAGATTTCTAGAGAGAAGACAGAGCTTCTCAGTCTAGAGAGAGAGAGAACAGAAGGAATTCTAAAGCAAAGGCGTGAAAATTGGCTTATATAGCTGCCTGAAACAATGCCATTTTGATAAGTCAGGATCAACACGTCAACTCGAAGACTCGCTCGCTGATCCGTGTCTCGACCTGACCCGATCGTAAGTTTTCTTTTTCCTTTTTTCTATTTTTATTTTATTTTCTAATTTTATTTTTTTATTTTATTTCTAACCCATTTTCTTTATTATTTCTGTTTTCTTTTTAAAAAAAAACAAAATAAAAAAATTTCTTTTGACGCTGATATCTTTTTTTTTTTAAAAATACATTTCCAAAAAAAAAGAGAAAAAATTATTTTCTAACAATGAAATTAATTACTCATTATTAAATTATTTGATAAATTATAAAAATGAGTAAGGTTTGGATAATTTGAAATTAAACTGGTACCATCCCTTAGATGGACGTTTTGGTGATGTAAAAGGGGTTTTTTGAAAAATAATTTAATTTTTTAAAACAATTGATTATTTATTAAAAGATAAATTTTAAGAAAAAATAAATTTAACCTTATCTCTATAAATTATCATAGAATATTTATTTGAATTAATTTTTTAAATTACATTTATATAAAAAAATTTATAATTTGAAATTATTTTAATTTTATTTTGACTAATAAAAAGTTATTTTATTTTACTTTTAATTTAACACATAATAAGAATGGTGAAAGATAAAAATCATCCTATCATGCTCTAAACTATTACACACATCAAATATAAAATAAATAACATCATCTAATCTAATTACATGAATAATATTATATCATCCTATCATATCTAATCCTATGCAAATAAATGCACTAAAAGCCTTGTATTGAGCTTCAAATTCTGCATTTTCAACTCCCAACATATTTTGTTAGGCAAAGTCGAAATACCTAACCAACCCATTGGTTTTCTCTCCTAGTGCAGGTTTTTTTTTTTTCTTTTTTAAGAATTGAAATATTAAAAATTTCATTGAAGGAATGAGACAAATTTCTGGTCCCACACCGCCATTTGGGTTACAGTTAGCAAGCCTAAGTCACAAAAGGGCGCAATTACAAACACTGTTGTTGCCATCAGCTGAGCCAATTGATATGGGAGCAAGTGCGGCCCGCATTTGACACGGCTTCATGGCAATGGGTCTCCTGTACTTGTGTCAGAGTTGTCCTTCGCTGGATCGTCTCGGTTCAGCTTACAAGCTTGAGTCCAACTTTGATCCGATTCAATCCATTAAGATTAATTTTAAACTTAAAAATATTTTTATGTTTTTAATCTTTTAAAATATATTCTAAAATTAAACTTTCATTAGAATATATCAGTTATTAATATAATAATGTTATGAAGTTAGACTAAGCTTGAATCAAAAAAAATTCATATCTACCTCGATCTAAAGATAAATGAATATGAGTTAAATTTATTTAATTAGTATATGAATATGAGTAGGTTCATAATAAAGTATATAGATATATGGATAGAGGAATATGTATTGAACCCATCAAACCTATTTAATTATGGGTTAAAATAGGTAGGCTCGTTTAATTGGTTATGAATATAGTAGCTTCATAATAGATATATGGATAAATGAATATGAATTCAAGACACAAATGATTAATGTTAAAACATCGTGTCAAAGTTAAAGATCTTTTCCCCAAAGCTCATTCCACTTTTATCACTTATATGTTGTCCCATGCATTTAAATTTAAACCACTTTTATCCACTTTAACTCTTTATTTAATATATTAGAGTAGACAAATAATTTTAATAGTTAAATTCATTAAATAAGATAAATAATCTAAAATCTTTTTTTTGTTAAAAAATAAGATTTTAAATGTTATATTTATTTTTTTTACAAAAGAAATCATAATTTAAAAATAAAAAAATTATAAATATTAAAATTTTAATTTTATATAAATCAATTTAATTAAGTATTTTATTTTAAATTATAATTTTTTTAAATTTCGCATATTAGTCTTACACAATCACGAGAAAGAACCACAAAAAAAATCAAGCAGTTGAACTAAAATTTTGAAATTTAGAAGAAGTAAAAAAAAAACAAATATACTGGTAGTTACCAACGACCCTTAATCTTTGCAGTACTCTTCGTCCTTTTTATCTTCGTAGTTTAGTGCATGTCGTAATCACCCAAAGAAAATATAAATCTAAAAATTTCAAATAAGGTACAGTAAATAAAATCCCAAATTGGCTTTAAGGATTAGGTTTTTTTAAAATTTTTTATTGCGGAAGAAAAGAAAAGGAAGGCAATCAAAGTAGTTAGGTTCAGAGTTGGCTTGCCTCTCAGCTGAATCGCTTTTAAAGTCTGCCAACAAGCCTGACGGTGACGTTCCTCTCTCCTTTTCTGAACTAAAATAAAACTCAACTCTTCCACTCCACAAACCAAACCAAAGAGAAGAAAGAAAATGGCTTCTTCTCCAAAGCTTTTCCTTCTCTTCCCCATTTCCTTCTTCTTTTCTCTCCTTTTTACTTCCACTCATTCTCGTCTCTCTCCGCAAACAACAACCACACTCGATGTCTCTTCTTCTCTTAAACAAGCTCAACATATTCTGACCTTCGATCCACAGTCTTTAAAACCCACCGCTCATTCCCAAAACGAAGCCCTTTTCTTCAACTCTTCTTCTGTTTTTTCCATTCCACTTCTCTCTCGAGGGTTTCTCCACAAAACCCACCACACCGACTACAAAACCCTTGTCCTATCCCGACTTCACCGTGATTCAGCCCGAGTCGACTCACTCACAACCAAACTCCTACTCACCGTGAATGGAGTCCAGAAGTCCCAGCTCCGCCCTCTCACCACCGAAATCCAACCCGAGGCGCTTTCCACCCCCATTATTTCCGGGACAAGCCAAGGTAGTGGAGAGTACTTTTCTCGGGTCGGAGTCGGTAACCCTGCTAAACAATTCTACATGGTTCTCGATACCGGAAGTGATATTAATTGGATCCAATGTGAACCTTGTACGGACTGCTACCAACAATCCGACCCCATATTTAACCCGTCCGCATCCTCCACTTACAGCCCGGTTTCTTGCTCGTCGAGGCAGTGTTCTTCTCTTGAAGTTTCCGCTTGCCGTAGTGGGAAATGTCTTTACCAAGTCTCGTACGGAGATGGGTCTTTCACGGTCGGGGAGTTTGTAACTGAAACGGTGTCGTTTGGAAACTCCGGTAGCATCAATAACGTTGCTTTGGGTTGTGGCCATGATAACGAAGGCTTGTTTGTTGGAGCTGCGGGTTTGCTTGGACTCGGCGGTGGATCCTTGTCTTTAACTTCTCAGATTAAAGCTTCGTCGTTCTCTTATTGTCTAGTGGATCGCGACTCCGCTGGCTCGTCGACTTTAGATTTCAACTCGGGGTTACCGGGTGACTCGGTGATCGCGCCTCTAATAAGGAGCCGAAAGGTCGATACGTTTTATTACGTTGGTCTGACCGGGTTCAGCGTAGGTGGGCAACCGGTTCAACTGCCGCCGGGACTTTTTAACATGGACGAATCAGGAAACGGAGGAGTGATCGTCGACTGCGGGACGGCCATAACTCGGTTGCAAACTCAGGCTTACAACGCGCTCCGAGACGCGTTCGCGAAATTAACTCAAGACTTACCGAGCACGAGCGGAGTGGCTTTGTTCGACACGTGTTACGACTTGTCGTCGAGGAGCAGCGTAAGGGTCCCAACGGTAGCGTTTCACTTCGGCAGTGGAAAGTCACTGGATTTACCTGCAAAAAATTATTTGATCCCCGTGGACTCATCGGGAACATTTTGCTTCGCGTTCGCTCCAACGTCGTCGACTTTGTCCATAATCGGGAACGTGCAGCAGCAGGGGACACGTGTCAGCTTTGATATAGCTAATAATAGGATTGGGTTCTCTCCTCATAAATGTTAAGACGGTTAATTATCCTGCCCTTTTTATCTGCGGTAAAAAAGGGTTAAGAAGAAGTTTGATTTCATAGGATTTTTAGGTGAATTTTTACTATTATTACCATTAGTAGTACTTTTTCTTGGCTGGAAAAATTAAATGGGGACTTCCACTTGGGTGGGACAGATTAAGAGGTTGGGTCCCACTCGAATAAATTCCAAAGAAAGAAAGAGGCTTTTGGATGGTGTGGGTAATTAATTATTATTTTGTGTGCTTTTTTACTTACAGTAGAGTAGTTCAGGGGCATTGTATAGTAAATCTGTTGAAAATTGAAGGGCAATTGATGTATTAGATTGTGTGTTGTATGAGTATGAAATGAAAAATATCTACGTTACATTGTAAACGCTTGCATGTGTGACACGTGGATGACAAAATTGCTGATCATGATTTTGATTTGTGTGACGGGAGCGCCGAGGGAAGCCAGAATATCCCTTCCGCTTTTGATTGAATTTAAACGCTTTTGATTGCATTTAAATGATTGATTGATTGATTATTGGAGTTTTAAAAGGGTTGGTTTTGGGTGGAGGATTTGGTTTGCCTTTTATGGCTGCGTCTTCTCTTTGTTGATATTGGTGGTGGTGGGTGGGTCCACGCGTTTGTATGGAGAGTGGTGAAAAGAGGGAAACAGAAGATCACATGAGAGAGAAGGGGAGAGTGTGGGACCCGCAATAAAAATGGACTGGTCGTCCTCTCGGACAAATGTTGGTTTTAAATATGATGTATGTGTGTATGGTCCCACCTCCAGCGGAGGGGGAGTATTGTGGGGATCAGTTCCGTGATTGTCGGCAAGCGTTTTGATTCTTCTATTGTTGTTTCATTGGATGACACGTACAATATTCTACAGCCACAGGCCAGCGTTACTTTGATCCGAACTTGTTTTCCCGCCAATCCAAAACAATGAATGACCTCCCTCTTATTTTTCTTATTATTATTATATTTAATAATTCATATTTTTATATCATATTTTATATCATATTTTATACATATAATTATATAATTTATTAAAATATAAATATGATATTAATTATATAATATATTTAAATTTTAAATATGAAAATAACACATTTAATATATATTTTATATATTACACATTAGATGGTACTATTAATAGTTATAAAATTATTTTATTTAAATATAACACGAATAAATATAAATAATATGAATATACATAAATAGATATGTTAACACACATATTATATATATAAATAGATATGATTAACACGGATGTATATAAGAAAATGATTAAAATAATAAATAACCATAAATTATTCTTCATTTATAACGTAATAAATTTGACATATTAATAATATAAAAATTTTACATATTAACAAAATAAAAAAATTAATACTCATTTAATATGTATTTAATATATATATTTTAATTTTAATTCATATTGCATAATTATATTAATTTTTAGTATCAAATTCAAAATGATAAACTAATAAAAATTAAAGAATAAAATAGTAATGTATACGACTAAAATTAATATTTATATTTAATTTATATTATTGATAAAAAAATAATTTTATAATAATTGATAAATGAGTATAGTAATTAAATGTTTAAAATAATTTTTATATGATATTAAATAGTTAATTAAATATCAAAATTAAAATATTAAAAATTAAAGCAATATTTATATGTTTTTATAAATTAAAATAAATATAAAAAATGTTTTAAATATATTAAACATATTAAATGTATAATCGTATAATAAGATTAAATTAACGTGTTATTTATGTCATGTCATATGTTTAGATTAATAAACATATATACCACACGAATTATGTCGTATCAAAATTCGTATCGACACGAATAAATATGAAATATTTAAAAAATAAAAAATATATACAATTTTTTTCATATTATTTTTATGTCATATCACCATGTCATTTCTAAAATTATCAAATATAATTATTATCATAATAAGATGATCTGTGGATTTTCTTAAATGAATATTTTGAGTTTTCATTTATCACAGCAATTATTTTCACTTTTCTCTGCATATCTCTGCAACTTAGTTTCTAAAATTTTTAACATCAAAATGAATAGAAAGATATATTAAAAATTAAAATATATATATAATAATTTTTTTAATTTTATTTATAAAATTAAAAAATTTTCATGATCAATAAATCAAAAAGCAAACTCTTTGATAAAAAGTACATTTATCAATTTCTTAACTTGTGAAATTTAAAAGTTTGATACATAAAAAAAAAATAAAAAACATAATAATCTCATTTATTATAAGAATAATTTGTGATTTTTTTAAATTACAAGAATTAAAGAAGTTACAATCATAATTAAATCTTGCATCCATATATAAAAAATAATTGAATATTTAAATAAATAAACCAATTAATAAATTAAAATTTAATTAGACAAATTCAATGTAAAGTTATATCAAATCCAAATACAATGAGACTTGAGTCTAAGTGAAGTTGGTCTGCTCTTAAATTCAGACACTACGGCCTCTAGTCTCTTAACAAATTATTAGACTCATAATCTTATTACTCTGCTAAAAATAAGGGATTTGCAACAAAAGTTGACTCACCTCATCCTTACTAAAGAAGAGGACGTGGTTGTCTTGCACTTATCCAAGTTTGACAAATTCATATTTTCAGATACTTGGTATTAGATCAGAGATAGGAAACCTACAGTGACTTGTATAAATTAGTATGGAATTCCTCAACATTTTCAATTAGATTTGATAATTTATATTTTTATATCATGTCTCGTATCGTATTTGACACGTAAAAAACATAAATTATTGAAACACGATGTAATATGAATTATAGAACATATTTAAATTCTAAACTCGAACACAATATATTTATTATACATGTTACACATGACGATATGATTAATATATGTATAATTAATCTATTTAAATATGATACGTATAAATATGAATAACATAGATATACACAAATAGATATAACTCGGATATATATAAATAAATATGACTAACACAAATATATACAATAATACAATTAAAATAATAAATAACTACAAACTATCTATAATTTACAACTTAATAAACTTGGCATAGTAAAAATATAAAAAAATACTTACATATTAAAAAAATAAAAAAAATTAATACCCATTTAATATGTATTTAATATATATATATATAAGTTTTAATATATATATTACATAACTATATTAACTTTTAGTATCAAATTCAAAATGAGAAACTATTAAAGATTAAAGAATAAAATAATAATGTATAGGACTAATATTAATATTTATATTGTATTAATATTATTAATATAAAAAAAATTTTATAATAATTATTAAATGAATATCATAATTAAATGTTTAAAATAAATTTTTCATGACATTAAATAGCTAATTAAGTATTATAATTAAAAGATTAAAAATTTAAATAATTTTTATATGTTTATATTAAATTAAAATAAATATTAAAAATATGTTAAACGTGTTAAACATATTAAACGTATTAAATATATTAAACATGTGATTTTTTAAAGCAAGTTTGGCAATTAGTGTTAGCAAAGTGTGAGATTGATCGTAGAATCCACAATTAGAAGATTTTTACTAGGCTGCTCGGCACACTAGGGGTAAAACTTTCAAAGGTTATGATTTTGAGAAGAGTGTGGACAATAAATTTGTACCATATATGTCGTGTGAGAAATTATCTAAAGCTTGGCAGTTGTTCTCCAAACATTGAAAATACTTTGCAAGGCATAAGTTTTGATGTAAAGTTTTACCTTTTAAAATTTGTAAAAAATAAAATGATCCTTCCATTAGTTCTGTATGTAAGAATTGGGGGATTGTATAGGAAGTGCTACATTCATTCTTTGATTGTTGACTAGTAGCAAAACTCTTACTTCTTTGGATTAATGAAATGCCATTTATCCAAAAAAAAAAAAAATGAAACTTAAATTAATCTAAAACTTTAATGTTCTGACACCTCTTATTCGTTACTAAACTAAAACATTGTAGGCACAATTTGTGATTTTAATTTATAGTATATAACATTTAACTTTGTTTAATATAAAGAATGAAAATTTTGTTAATCCAATAATTAAATTACAAAATTAAAAGTGGTTATGAAATCTAACCATTGAATCAACAAATTTTTTATCATCCTAGCAAACAAAGTTTTAATGTCATAAAAACATTCCTTTTATGATTTAATATTCAAACTTCAAATTAGATTTTGATTTCTTTAAATTTTGTTTGGTAATGAATAAAAAATTTTCTTATCCTCAAATAGAAAAAAAAAAACTTTCATATATTCAATTTTTTGTTTTTTCTCAAATTAAAACTCCTCCTTTTATTTAAAATAAATTAAAAAATTTTAAAAAAATTAAACATGTAAATCCAACGAAAAATTGACTACATTGATAAGGTCATTTATTTTGAAATAAGAGGTAATATTTTCAACTTTTACCAATAACTCTTGGTGCTAACCAATGAAAGAATTACATAAATTTTTAGTATTTAAAAATAAAAATAATAAAATAATTTATATTCTATGAATTTTGATTCAATTTGATTTGATAGGATAATTTTTTAAAAACCAAAGATCATAGAAGTGGGTCAATTTTTTTTTTTTCTAAAATCAAAATCGGATCAAAGTCAGCTTTTAGGTAATATCAAACTAACTGACCCGACCTGGGTAAATAAAAAATATTTTTTATTATTTATTTAATTATATATATTATATTAATAAAATTATTATTTAATATTTTAATTTAAAATATTATTTTATGTATAATTAAGATTAATTTATATTAAAAATAATATTTTATAAATATTATATTAAATTAAATTATTAAATTAATGTTGAAATAGGTCATTTGCGATTTATAAATAAATACACGAGTTAAATCAAACATAAAAAATAATTTTTTAATATCATGTTCGAAATTGAATAAAATATTAAAAATTTGGATTAAAGTCAGGCAAAAAAGCAGATCGGACCGTTGCCATCCCTATTTAAAGGTCAAAAAATTTGGGAATTTTCCCATAAACCGAAAAACTATAAAAACTGAAAAGCATGATAATAGAGGGGTTAAGTTAAGGGTAGATTTGGCTTTGCGTACAGTAGTTACTAGTTACTACTACTATATTATATAACTAGAAATTTATTTATTTGTGGATGTTAAAGGTTAAATTTTAATTACTGTCATTAAAAATATATTTCTTGTATAAGATTTTTTAGAAAAAAATTTAAATTATTTTTTTAAATAAACTCTTATATTTTTATTATATTCAAATAGATCTTTATTTTTTAATTTGTATCTAAATAATCTATTGATTTAAATAAAAATTAATTTATGTTAAAGGCTTATTTAAGTACAAATTAAAAGT